ATAGAACGTTTCTCTCGTGTGGGGAATGTAGAACTAAGGGGAAAATCCGAAAGGACTGCGGATGCTGTAAATCAGGAACAAAAACACAAATTGCTGGAAAAGCTCGGGTCTGGCAGCATCTGTGAAGAAAAAATCAGAGTTAACATTTCAGGTCCGGTGACCATTCCTCTTGTGAATAAAGGATGACTAAACAAAGAGTGGGGGGCAGAAGATGAACTATTAGGTCAAGCTAACTAATAATATAAAAGAAGATTGCAAGAGTTTTTTAATAACTAAATAAAATGAGTCCATATTTTTCGGGGCAAGTTGCTAGCATGGTTAGAGGATTGGCCAACTGGCAGAAAGCACAGAGTGGGGATAAAGGGGTCTTTTTCGGGATGGCAGCCGGTGACCAGTGAAGTTCTGCAGGGGTCTGTGTTGGGACCATAACTATTCATGTTATACATTAACAATCTGGATGAAGGAGCTGAGGCCATTGTTGCCAAGTCTGCAGGTGACACAAAGACAGGTGGAGGGACAGGTAGTGTTGAGGAGGTAGGGAAGCTGCAGAAGGACTTGGACATGCTAAATGTGGGCAAAGAAGTTGCAGATGGAATAGGATGTGGGAAAGTGTCAGGTTATGCACTTTGGGAGGAAGAATAGAAGCGCAGATTATTTTCTAAATGGGGAAAGGCTTTGGAAAGCTGAAACGCAAAGGAACTTGGGATTCCTAGTTCAGGACTCTCTTAAAGTTAACAGACAAGTTTAGTCAGCAGTTAGGAAGGCAAATATAACATTAGCATTCATTTCAAAAGGGATATAATACGTGAACAGAGATGTACTGCCGAGCCTCTGTAAGTCTCTAGTCAGACCACATTTGGAATATTGTGAGCAGCTTTGAGCTCTGTATCTGAGGAAGGGTGTACTGACCTTGGAGGGGGTCCAGAGGAGGTTTACAAAAATGATCCTGGGGATGAAGAGCTTGTCATATGAGGAGCAGTTGAGAACTCTGGGCTTGTAATCGGTGGAGTTTAGAAGAATGAGGGGAAT